GCTCTTGTCTTCCTCCTGACCTTCCCTCTCCCTCCCTGTCCTTCCCCCTCTGTCTGCCTGCCTCCCCTCTCCTCTCATTCACTGCAGGATGCTCACTGAGAAGGGTGTAGAGTTTATGTATAATGAGATGTACCAACATGCACAAGTGCTCTTCAGGTAAGAGGAAAAACCGTTGTCCTGATTGTAATTCCTAATTCCTTCGCGCACACCTTTCTCTGCCCAATGCGTATCCGCCATCCTTGCACATGTTTGCATGCCTCAGTAACCCTGTACACCCATAACCACCCATTTTTTTCCCTTTTACCCTGTTATTCATAATCCACTTGCGTTTTTCTTCTCTCATTACAGCGACACCAAGCAACGGGAGTTTTTGACACGTCTCATTGCTGCCCGAGCCACAGCTGACCAATAAAAACCCTCGAGGAAGTTCTACTGGCACCGTTTTGTTTTACCGCTCTGCCCGGCCAACTGGGCAGGGTGTTTACACGGGATGACTAATCAGCAAGTGGGTGGTGCGTCGACAACAGTGCATCGACTGATCGATAGCAACAGCTGGAGAAGCTTCTAGGTTAGGCCATGGTGGAATAGCTGCCCTCTGCTTGGTATGTCTAGGTGCTAAATCGGGTAGACGGTTCTTTAGGTTCCTTCGAGGGATGTGTCCTCCCTCTTGCATGTAGCTGCTCTTTTGTGCAACACATGCCTTGTTATCAAAAGCTGTTTGGAAATAAAAGTTGCACCAGTGGATCCATCTAAAAATACTAGTAGGGCTTCCTCCAATCATCATGGGGTATCCGCGAACTTATTGTAATCTACAATTACGACTGTACATCGACTGCTACAGTCCATTATTAAAACTTGCGCGAACACTCGTCGCCGACCCTTCTATTTTCCTACTTCTGCGACTCTTGAGGCGCCTTCTACGCTCCAGAAGTAGCCGGCTCGTAGTCGTCGTCGTCTTCCCACGCTGCCCGCGTTTCCGCTGCACGTACTCTATTCGACGACGTCCTAGGTTGGATAGAACTACTAGTAGCACGAGTCGTAGCAATAGCGATAGCACTCCCAGGCTTTTTTTTTTGTTGTTGGCTTCCCTTTGAAGGCAACCCCGTAAGGAACTCGCGCACTCTGCGCACGAAGCTTCCGCCCACCGTGTTCCCGCCAGATTTTGGCGCTTTTGATTGCGAGCCGTCCGAATTCACTCCGCCGCTAGCCCGCCTCAAGAAGATCGTTTTTCCGCTGCGTTCGCCAACTAGTCGGCCCAGCTCCTGAGTTCGCACGCTCGCGAAAGTCAAACTCCTTCGCACGCTGACGTCCTTTGAGTCGCCCGCCCGTTTGCGACTGCGTTCATCGAAAGACGAGGTCGAATTACTTGTAGAGGAGGAGTTTGGCGTCCCGACTGTAGCGCGGGCTTCAGTAGCATCACCAGGCGTACCTACTGTCCCATCCGCAGCATTGTCTGGCACTATAAGACCAGCCACAAGGCGTCGGCGAAGAAAGATGAAGTGGTTACTCCGTTTCGACCGTAGCGAACCTTCGCGAGTCGTCGTCTTACTGGCAAAAGATAAATCAGATTTTGTTGCCGCCGCCGCGTAGAAATGGCTCCTTTGAGAACCGAGGTCCAGGATAGCGCACACCAATAGAAGCAGCAACACCCCGGGGGAAAACATTCCAAGCATCCCTCTTCGGAATGCTGACAGCGCCATTAAGGCTTGAGCTTAAAAAGGAATTTCACTTAGGTCGGGCTCGGACTCGGGAAGATGTTCGACTGGAAACGGCTGTGAAGGCAACGCTCGCTTCAAGTCTAGTACCGTCACAGTTGCATAACTGATGATAAAAGTGAAAGAAGGCTATTAGGTCCTGCGGTATCGCCTGGTGAAGCGGTTGAATATTTTTCACGACGGTTTTTGTACGAGGCCCACTAACTGAGGTAATTGGTAGATTTGGGAAGTCACGTCCCCTGGTGCTGAAGGGACAGCGCCTGGCTCAACGGCTGCTACGAATCGAGGTGTTTTTTTATCATGAGTCACAAGTTTCGTCGCTTGGTTCAGTCCGGAATCGTGAGGTTTGAGATGAAGGGGGTGTCATGATGCGATGAACGAACTGAGGGATGACGTTGAGAAAGAATGAGGTGGCCAGTAGAGAAATATAGCGGCGCTTGATTGGGCTGGCTACAATGGGAGAAGTGCTTCAAATGCACTGGTTTGCAGAATAGTAACGTTGTTCTTCGAAGCAGGGAGTTCTGGTATGGACGTTTCCTAAATATGACGGACGAGAAAGGAGCTCAAGAACTGATGGACGAATAGGAGAGCCGGGACTTCCGGTCAGGCCTGTCGAAGTTTCTGGGGCTCGTACTTGCGCTCCCCAGCTCCTCCGCATCTGACCCTTGGTTGGGTGTAGGTGTGCGTTTTGGCGCCCTTAACGGTCACGGGCGTACCCCAAAGTGAAAACTTGAAATCCGGGCATGTTTGAAGTTTGCACTTACACTGTATTTTACTATGGTACGTGCAGTTTTCAACTTATATTAGAAGTTTCTCATACCTAATACTACACATGTCTTCAATAGTCATAAAACCTAAGGGAATGTTCGGGTGCTCCAAGGCTGACTGAGACACACTACACACACGAGATTGGCTAGAAAACGCTAAGGGAAAAATCCCCTTGGCGCGCTCTAGTGCAGGCTACGGAGAAAGGGGGAGGGGGGGGGGGGGCTCGGGCACCCTCAGGGGGGGGGTCCCTACGCGGAAACCAAAACTTAGATAAAGGGGAAGGCCTGGTTTCGTCCCTTAACGCATCCGGGGAGGGGTCGAACGAAGCACTTAGTGGCACGGGTGGGGTACGAATCCAGAACTTGCCGCATTGGAGCTGGAGTAAAACTAGCCCTTAATGTTCAGGGCATTAAAGGTATATGCCCTTGAATCGACAGGCCTGCTTCCGGTACGATAGGGAGGCATAATCGGGGCGCGAAGCTCGCATCGCGTCTAATCTATGAACTGGCTTCAACTTGCATGCAACCGCACGTACTTCACGACAAGCTCAAAGTGTTGGGCCCACACTCCACAACAAGCGCATTATCCAAGCCGTCGATGTACAATAGTTTACACGTCGATTTCACCAGCGTGTGTTACATGGTAGTCGAGGGTTCTGAAAGTCACGCAAGAGCGGGCGAGTGCGCGAAATGGAGTTCCTGCCTCATCAGAAGCTTGACGAAGAAACAAGGCGAAACATGGATGTGAAGTAGCGGTTCGTCATTTTTCGTGCACAAGCATCCCCACGTAAGGAAACGCGTTTGCTATGTTGACAAACTAACTATAGCGAGCTTTTTGAATGCGGTGTACAGTATCTACTGTATCACAGACCATGATCAAACTCCTTTTGGTGGTTCGCCTTTTCTCCCTTCCCACCTCACCTCGGGGTTTCACTCACCAGCCTCAGGGTTTTCATTCTCCCCCATTCCCATAATCCGCATTTGGGGTTTCGCTCTTCGTCCCCTCGCTCCTCCTCTTCGAACCCTGATGGCAGACTCATGGTCCCTCTTTCAGGCATTCGCGTACATTATCCCTTTTCAGCTTTCTTTTGTCGACATAGGTAGGAGGAAATCGGGGTTTCGCGTCTGACCTCACATTTCCTCTCAGGCCCCCACCAAATTCGTCTTCACCCCAAGAAATCTCGGTGCGTCAGGCGACGCGGGAACTTGCCTGTGAAAGCGTCAAACTGAAGCTTATTCAATCAGGTAATGCCTAGACGACGTCAATTCTTCCCAGTAGTGCCGGCAGAGTGTCCGTCGAGTTAGCGTCACTTCTTTTTAGGACTAGAAGTAAATCGTCGGTCAATATCTGGCAGAGGAAATCCGTCAGCTATGGAATCCACCAATGCTAACCCTAATGCCATGTCAACTGCTACGGTTCTCGTTTCCCGGTCCTGTAGATTGTTTCTCGGAGAAGTTTATAGCGGTCCTGTTGCTGACGTGGACAATGCCTGTCGTTTCAGGTCCTTTGTAGCAGAGATTCGTCGCTATGGACCCCTCAGAGCTCTCGTCGCCGTACGATCTGCCAGGTGGCACGGCCGAATTCGACGACACAGATGGACGCTCAGGATTCCCTGGCTCCGTCCCGATGTATCCTCCTCCTCCACATCATCTGTCGTATCACCATCCAGTTCCGTTGATTGAGGCCGATCGGTACGCCGTGAATTACGGCGTGCATCCCGCCGCGCATTCCGCCGCGCATCACGGCGTGAATCACTCCCTAGTCGTGAATGTGGATGAGGATGAGGAGGAGGAGGAGGAGGAAGAAGCGGTTCGACGTCACGACGCTGACGTGGCAGAGGGAGCGGAAGCGCAGATCGCGGATTCGTCAAGATATGAAATCCCACAAAACGGGCTATCGCCTTTCGAGGCGTCTCAAATACCGCCGTACGGTTTCAGTTCGGAGTACGGTTCGCACGGCTCGAATGATCGGCATTCCAGGCCAATAACGGGGATGCATCATCACGCACACTTTCTATACACTCACCCTCCTTATATGCACATCCCTTTTCACGCACATCCTGGTGCTGGTTCCTCAGGCCCCATGCCTCCCCCCCCTCCGCATGAAGGTTCCAGTATGGGTTTCGCATACCATCCTTCGTCGCGATCGCTGGTTACCACTTACAATGCGGGTTATCACCATCATGCTCCACCGGCGCCTGCGCATGTGATGCATCCGGGACCGTTGGATCCGGTCATGGGAATTCATCACCACCGCACGATGGAGCAGCAGGAATCCATGGAGCAGCATAGGTCAATGACGCATCATGGGTCTATGGAGCATGTACCTAGGCCATATCATGATGGGGAAATTAACATGGATCATCATTATCACCATCATCACCATCAGCATCATCACCACCACCACCACCACCATCACCACACTTCAGTTGGGGATACCATGGGGCTAGATCCATGGCCGCCGCGTTTACCCCCGCAATTGGCGCCGCAGCTGCCGCCGCCGTTAGCGCCGCACCTGATGCTAGAATCTGGGCCGGAGTGTCGCGGCGATGCTGACGTGGCGTTGAGACAAGCGAGGGATCCTGATGTGCTGGCAGATGGGGGGACAGATGCTGACGTGGTGGTTGACGCAGTGGAGTATGACTATATCGAGGATGAAAATCAAGCTACGGATCAGAGACTCGTTATAAGTCAGAGCATACGGACAGTTGAGGAGACGGACGAGCTGAAGCGGCTGGAAGGGCAAGAAGAGAGACGAAATGATCTGATAGAGAGTGCAGCTCCAGCGCAGGAGCAGGCGCAATCCCAGGTGCAGGAGCTAGCTCAGGCGCAGGTGCTAGCTCAGGCGCAGGAGCAGACGCAGGTGCAAGTTCAGGTGGACAATTTGGAAGAGCGCATTTTGCAGGCGCAAGCGCAGGTGCAAGCTCAGGTGCTTGGATATGAATATGCACATAAGCACCTGCAAGGGCGCGAGCAGGACGTGTACGATAGTGCGCTTATAGCGGATCACGTGTCTAAGCTTGTAGCGGAGCAAGCACTAGTTGAGCAGGGGGGGGAAGAGGGACAGGGGCGGAATGAGCAGGCGGCTGGGCAAGGAGAGGAGGTCGAGCTTAGACAGGTCGAAGGGGAGGGGCAGGGGGAGGGGAGGAGTGAGGAAGAAGAGGCGGCGGACAGGGGAAAGAGAATGGATGGACAAGAGGGAAAGGAAGGAGGAGAGGAAATGGAGGCGGGAGGGGCAATGGAGAGGGGAGGGGAAATGGAGAGGGGAGGGGAAATGGAGGGCGGAGGGGGAATGGAGGGGGAAGAGGGGCCGGATATCGAATTGGAGCTAGTGATGGGGGACGCTGAGCTGGACGATGAGGAGATATTTGTGGGACAGCTGGCTGCTGACGTGGCGGATGTCCGTGCACCAGATGGCCACGTGGCACGAGCCCACTGGCAAGCCACGCTTGAGGATCTATCCGCGCCACAGTATGGTGCAGAGTTATGTAAAAGAGGGCGTATATCATCAGACAATAGCGACTTTGCTGAAGGGATAGCAGCGAGACACGTAGCAGTAAACGAGGCGTATAATAAAGAGTATGGTACAGAGTTACCTGCAAGGAGGCCCCTATCAGTACTTGACGAAAGGGGCATTGGCGAAGGGGAGATAACACGGGTAGCGGCTACAGCAGGGAAGGTAACACCTGAAGCAGCAGCAGCAGCAGTAGCAGCATTGGCAGCATCAGCACCAGCACCAGCAGTAGCAGCAGCTGCAGAAGCAGCAGCAACACAAATATCACCTGCTGTAGAGAAGGTAGGGGAGGAAGCAGCACCAGCACCAGCAGCAGGAGGAGTTGTAATACCTCCAGAAGCAGTAGCGGGAGGGCCAGATGTGCCTGTAATAGACGGGCCTGTAGAGGACGTGCAAGAAGCAGCAGGGCAGGCAGCGTCTGAAGCTGCAGCTGAAGCAGCAGCAGCAGTAGCTCGAGAAGCAGGAGAAGGAGAACTTGATGTGCCGGTAATAGATGGGCATTTAACAGACCTGCAAGCAGCGTGCGTGCCTGCAGGGGATGTGCCATTAACAGGTGTGCCAGTAACAGGCGGGGCTCTAGAGGAGGTGCAAGCAGCTACTGATAGAGGTGATGAACGATCGGTACCACCACAAAAGGAGACGATTACCACTGCTGCACCTGCAGTTACTGCCGTTCCTCCTCCAACTGCTGCTGCTGCTGCTGCTGCTGCTGCTGCTGCTGCTGCTGCTGCTGCTGCTGCTGCTGCTGCTGCTGCTGCTGCTGCTGCTGCTGCTGCTGCTGCTGCTGTGGTTGCCATCCCTGCCGCGGCTGCTGTTTCCGCTACCTCAGTTGCCGCTGCTGCTGCTGTAGCTACCCCTGATGATGATGCTGTTCCTGCTGCCATAGGAGCCGTGGCAGTGGAAACAGGCGGTGCAAGGGGGACTGCTGCTATCCCTAATGTTCCTGCTGTTCCTGATTCTACCCCTACTGCTCCTACTCTTCGTGCTGTTCCTGCTGCTTCTACTGCTGCGGAAGCTTTTGCTGCCGGGGAACCTGTGGGAATGGAAGCAGGCGGTGCAGGGGAGGCTGTGTGTGGCGACTGCATAGGAGCAGAAGCAGAGGCCACTATAGCTGTGGTCGATGGGGTGTTTTTGCCAACAGAAGCAGCAGCAGCAGTGAGAGAAGCAGGAACAGCAGGAGCAGAAGAAGCAGCGCCAACAGCACCAGAACCACCAGCAGCAGCAGGAGCTATATTTTCAAGAGCAGTAGCTGTGGAATCAACTGCAGTGGCGCCAGCAGCAGCGGCAGCATTGAGTGTAGCAGAGCGTGCAGTAGTTGCAAGTGCAGGACCCGTTCTAGGGGTAACACTAGCAGCACCATACGCGTTGCAGGCTGCACCAGTAGCAGTGAGAGCATTGGCACCACCAGCAGAAATAGCAGGTGCAGCAGCAGGAGGGACTGTAGCGAAGCGTGCAGCAGTTGCAAGTGCAGGACCCGTTCTAGGGGTAACAGCAGCAGCACCACAAGCACTGGAAGAGACTTTTGAGTCGACTCAAAAGTCACTAGGGGTAACACCAGCAGCACCATACGCACTGGAACCAGCATCATTAGAAGCAGGTGCATTGTCAACAGGTGCAGAGACAGCAGCAGCAACAATAGCAGAGCGTGCTGTAAACGCAAGTAATCTACCTGTTGTGGCAGCAACGCCGGCAGCACCACACGCACTGAAACCAGCAGCATCCGAAGCAGGTGAATCGTCAGCTGCAGCACACACAGCAACAGCAGCAACAGGAGCAGAGCGTGCTGTATATGCAAGTAATCTACCTGTTGTGGCAGCAACGCCGGCAGCACCAGGGGCAGCGGCTGTAGCTGTTGCAGCAGCAGGGGCTTTAGCAAAGCGTGCAGTCTGTGCGAGTATGGGGCCTGCTGTTGCGGCAACGCCAGCTGCAGTATGGGCAGCAGGGGCCGAGGCAGAAGGGGCTGTAGCAGAACGTGCGGTAAGTGCAAATGTAGCACCTGTTGTTGCGACAACTAGAGTAAAACCAGACACAGCAGCTGCAGCAGCAGCAGCAGCAGCAGCAGCAGCAGCGACTGTAGCAGAGCGTGCAGTAAGTACATTACCTGCTGTAGCAGCAACACTACCATCACCAGGGGCAGGAGCAGGGAGAGTAGGAACAGCAGCAGCGGTGGTAGTTGAGCGAGCAGTTGGTGCAGCTATCAAACCTGTTTCAAGGGCAAGACCAGGAGCACCATATGCACTGCAATCAGCACCAGGGACAGCAGCTGTAGCTGGAGCAGCAGCAGCAGCGGCTGTGGCAGATTGTGCTGTAAGTGCGGTTTCAACTCCTGGTCTAGGGGAAAGACCAGGAGCACCATATGCACTGCAGCCAACACAAGTTGAAGCTGGAGCGTCGTCAGCAGTGGCAGGAACAGCAGGGCCGGCATGGGCGGCACGGCCGGCAGGGGCAGCAGGGGCGGCAGGTGACACAGCAGCAGCAGTTGTGGCGCAAGCAGCAGTAGGAGAAGCAGCAGCAGCAGTGCCAGAATTAGCTGTACCCCTGGCAGTTTTGACCAGTGCTGAGAGTCCTGGGGGGGAAAGTGCAGGGATGGAAAGGAGAGGGATAGTACTACCAGTGAGAGCTGCAGCAGCAGGCTCTATGGCAATTGCGCAAGCAGAAACAGCTGCGGTGGCAGCAGGAGTTGGGACAGCAGCGGTAGAGAGAGGAGGATCAGCAGCAGGGAGAGCTGTACCAGGAAGGTTCCCAGCAGCTGCAGCAGCTAGAGGCGCTGCAGTAGCTAGAGAAGCACCACAAGCCACATTTGCTGCAGCCACAGTATCTGCAACAGTTTCAAGTGCAACTGGAACGGTTTCAACTAGAGCATGGCCCGTTTCAACGGCCCATGGGACAGGTTCGACTGCTGCCAGAACAGTATCGACTGCAGCTGTAACTGTTCCTGGGAACAAGATGACACCTGAGGAGCTGGAGATTGACATGAGGGATTTCCTGAGCAACAGAGCCAGGTGGGGCCAGGTGGAGAAGGGAGGCGCGTCCATTGCCCACCTGAGAATCTACCTGAGGGGCCTGCGGCGAGAAGGCGACCCGAAACTAGAGGTATGGAGAGAAAACCAAAACCAAGCAGGACATGTTTCTCTCTCATGGTCTTACTGTCGGTCGAGGACATAGAGCTGAGCTGAGATGCTGTCAGTTGTGCAACTCTTTGCAGGATGTTTTTGAGAATTCTCAAAAACACCCTGCAGGACATGTTTCCCTCTCATGGTCTTACTGTCGGTCTTACTGTCAGTCAGTTGAGGACATAAAGCTGAGAGGCTGAGATGCTGAGATGCTGAGATGCTGTCAGTTCAGTTGTGCAACTCTGTGCACAACCTTCGTCTCCGCCCCTCTCTGCCCCTCTCGACCCCTCTCCACCACTCTCCACCCCTTCCCACCCCCTTCCACCGCTCTGCACTCCTTTCACCAGCATCTGCAGGACATGTTTTTCTCGCACGGACTAACTCTCAAAGACATCAAGCTCGAAATGCTCTCTGTGTACAGCTCTTCGCCGCCCTCGTCAGCCCCTCCCTTCTATCCACGCTCACCCTTGTTCTCCGCCCCTCTCCAACCCTCTCCACCCCTCTCCACCCCTTTCCACTACTCTCCTGTACTTTCCACCACTCTCCACCCCTCTCACAGCAACTGCAGGACATGTTTCTCTCGCACGGGCTCACCCTGGAAGACATCAAGCTCGAGATGCTATCAGTCGTGCAGCTCTTCGCCACCCTCGTCAGCCCCTGCAGGACCCCCCTTCCACCACCACGCTCTCACCCTTGTTCTCTACCCCTCTCTGCCCCTTTCGACCCTTCTCCACCTCTGCACTCCTCTTGCCAGCACCTGCAGGACATGTTTCTCTCTCATGGATTAACTCTCGAGGACATCAAGCTCGAAATGCTATCTGTCGTGCAGCTCTTCGCCACCCTCGTCAGCCCCGTGCGAACCGGAGCAAAGAACAAACCCAAGCTCCTCACAATCATAGTGACCTCCGAGCCTTTAAACAGACCACACGCCCCTCCATCCGCACTCATCCTTGTTCTCCGCCCCTCTCTGCCCACCTGCACTCCTCTCCACCCTTCTCCAGCATCTGCAGGACATTTTTCTTTCCCACGGGCTAACTCTCGAAGACATCAAGCTGGAAATGCTCTCAGTGGTACAGCTCTTCGCCACTCTCGTCAGCCCCGTGCGAACCGGAGCAAAGAACAAGCCCAAGCTCCTCACCATCATAGCAACCTCCGAGCCTTGGAACAGACCACACGCCATGGAGAAGCGCCTCGTTGCCGCGGCTTTCAGCCACGTCCTCCCTTTCCATCCACTCTCACCCTTGTTCTCCATCCCTTTCCACCCCTCCCAACCGCTCTGCACTCCTTTTGCCAGCACCTGCAGGACATGTTTCTCTCGCACGGACTAACTCTTGAGGACATCAAGCTTGAGATGCTATCAGTCGTGCAGCTCTTCGCCACCCTCGTCAGCCCCGTGCGAACCGGAGCAAAGAACAAACCCAAGCTCCTCACCATCATAGCCACTTCCGAGCCTTGGAACAGACCTCATGCTATGGAGAAGCGCCTCGTTGCCGCGGCTGTCACCGGGCCTGTCCCGGGCCTGCCGCCGGAGCTGGCCGCCGCGGCTGCGGCGCAGGTTCGGGTGGGGGAGGAGGAGGTTCGGCGGTACGGCGGGATGCTGGAGCGGTTTCTGGAGAGCCCGAGGGAGTGGAATCTGGTGGATCATCGGGGGGAGTTTCAGTTCAATGCTATTTTTGCGTTCCTGCGCAAGGCGCATGTATGCGAGCCGCTGTTGCTGCAGGTGAGGCTGCAGTGGGAATGCAGGGTTGTAGGGTTTCAGGGTCTGCAAGCTCAGGGCCTAGGGTTTCTGGAAAGTTTGAGAGACTGGAATCTGGTGAATTATCGGGGAGAGTTTGAGCTCAATGCTGTTTTTGTGTTACTGCACAAGGCACACGTGTGCGAGTCACTGTTGCTGCTGCAGGTGAGTCTGCATTCCAAGGTTCAGGTGTTAGGGAGGGTTTTCGAACTACGGGAGAGGGAGGTGGAGGGGGGGAGGTGGTTGGGTTCGGTTCGATGCTATTTCTGGTTCCTGAGCAAGGCGCATGTGTGCGAGCCGCTGCTGCTGCTGCAGGTGAGAGTGCATTGGATTGGATGCAAGGTCTGGTTGGTTGTCAGCGACTAGCAGGTTTCCTTTTGAGTCGACTCGACTTTTGAGTCGACTCAAAAGTCATCTGTGCGAGCTGCCGCTGCTGCTGCAGGTGAGACTGCATTGGATTGGATGCAAGGTCTGGTTGGTTGTCAGCGACTAGCAGGTTTAGCAGGTGCGTGCTAGGGTTTTTGCATTCCTGCAAGTTTAGGGTGCTCGTACTGCACTTGGTGCTTCCCGAGTGTATTATCAGGGAGTGGATTACAGAGTTGAAAACCGGGGCACTCCCTGCTATTGGGGAGTCGAACTTCGTCTCTCGGATTGCAAGAAGTGCCTTTTGAGGCGCCTCAAAAGTCGTCTCTCGGAGTGCAAGAAATGGGTGGCACCACCACACCCAACCGTTGCTCTCCTCACCCTTTTCTCTCCACCCCCCTCTTTCTCCATTCCCCACAGCACTATCAAAGTCTCTTCTTTGCACATCGCCTCACCCTACACGACCTGCGAGCGTGCAAGAAGTGGGTGCTCATGCTGCTCGCTCTGCTGCTGGGCTTCTCTGGCCGCCTGGACGAGCTCAACAAGAAAGACCTGATTCAGGCCATAGCATCAACAGATGCTTGGAAGGAGTATGAGACGAGACAGGAGACTCGTCCGAATGGACAGTGCGGTGCAAAACAGTGTGGTGCGGTTTTAGATGGGCCGCTTGAGAGTGCTAGGGGAGTCGGAGGGGCGCAGGCGAATGGGGCCTTGGAGAGGAACGAGGGGAGCAGGGCTGCTGGGGGTGAAAGCAGAGAACGAGCGAGTGCAAGGGAGGGAGGAATGGTTGAGTTCGGTTCAGGGGTAGTTGGGGAGACTGGGGCGGCTGGAGGAGCAGGAGCAGTAGCAGCAGCAGCGGCAGCAGGGCGGGATGCTGGGTTTGTAGAAAACAGGGGAGGCACACATGCGCCTACCCCTTCTGCCACCGATGCTGCTGCTGCTGCTGCTGCTTCCTCTCCTCCTCCTCTTGCCCCTCCTGATGCTACCACTGCCGCTCCACCTGCTTCCACTCCTCCCCATCATCACCTTGTCACTAACGTCACCGCTAATCAAATTCCTGACACTCATGTTAACGATAGCACTGCCCCTGCTATTAATAGCAATGATGCTGATAATGGCAATCACTCCAGGAAAAGGTCTGCTCCAGGAAGAATTCGGCCGATCAAATGCGCCCGTCTGCTGCCGACCTCCCGCCAGGACCGGTCGGCGTTCCTCGTCCGTGTCCGACAGGCAGAGGACAACGAGTTGGACGGCGTGCTTCGGCAGTTTCTGGAGGACCCAAAGCACTGGGCGTGTGCGTTGAAAGGAGGCGTGGTTGTAACGAGACTGGGGAAATTTATAAGGGAGATGGCGGAAAACAACCCTACGATGCTGGAGGTGAGTGACTGTTTTTCATGCTTTTTCTGTTCTCCAGTGTACTTTCCTACACTAAAGTTTTCTTCTACTCATAGTATGCCTGTTAATACCATCTTTTAAGTTATTTCAAAAGTGCTTTCCCTCATCCCTCCCCTCTCCCTTTTTAAAGGGTTTTACCATTCACCTTTGAACTCTCCTTTTTTGTGCCCTGTTTTTTTTTTCCTCCCAGCCGTACCAGCAGGCGTTCTTTGCTCACGGCATTGGCATGAACGAGCTGAGGCGGGAGAAGAGACCTTACCAGTGGCCCTTTCCCTGAACCCCACTCCTTGCACTCCCTTTCGCCTCTCCTCCCCCCAGCCGTACCAGCAGGCGTTCTTCGCTCACGGCATCGGCATGAACGAGCTGAGGCGGGAGAAGAGTTCTTATTGTTGAACCCTCTCTTTCCGAACCCCACTCCCACACTCCCCATTACCCTTCGTATCTCCTCCCCCCAGCCGTACCAGCAGGCGTTCTTCGCTCACGGCATTGGCATGAACGAGCTGAGGCGGGAGAAGCGCACGGCCCTGGAGCTGTTTGCATACCTCATGGGCGTCACAGGTGTGATTGCTATGCTGGTGTGGTCACATGGAGCACGGTACCACTGAAAGACCCGCTATGTCTGATTATGAGAAGCGCACGGCCCTGGAGCTGTTTGCATACCTCATGGGCGTCACAGGTGTGATTGCTATGCTGGTGTGGTCACATGGAGCACGGTACCACTGAAAGACCCGCTATGTCTGATTATGAGAAGCGCACGGCCCTGGAGCTGTTTGCATACCTCATGGGCGTCACAGGTGTGATTGCTATGCTGGTGTGGTCACATGGAGCACGGTACCACTGAAAGACCCGCTATGTCTGATTATGAGAAGCGCTCGGCCCTGGAGCTGTTTGCATACCTCATGGGCGTCACAGGTGGATTGCTATGCTGGTGTGGTCACATGGAGCACGGTACCACTGAAAGACCCGCTATGTCTGATTATGAGAAGCGCACGGCCCTGGAGCTGTTTGCATACCTCATGGGCGTCACAGGTGTGATTGCTATGCTGGTGTGGTAATATGGAGCACGGTACCACTGAAAGACCCGCTATGTCTGATTATGAGAAGCGCTCGGCCCTGGAGCTGTTTGCATACCTCATGGGCGTCACAGGTAGTGTAGCGGCCTAACATGGTAACCTGGTAACAGTAAACTGGTAACAGTAACCTGGTAGCAGATTTACAAGTCTGATTCAAGGGCGGGAGAAGCGGAGCGCACGAGAACCGTTTTGCACAAGTGATGGGAGTCACAGGTATTGGTGCAAGAGAGTTGCGTGCTGATTGCTGGAATCATGTGGTGTGAGTACATGGTTACCTGGTTAAATGCTCTCATGTCACCTGGGGCGAAGGAACAGGGATGTAAAGAAGGGGCGCGTAACAAAAGGGCTGTTGAATAAGAAGAGGGGGGGTTGGGGGGTTGAGGTTTACAAAGAGGAAAAGAGGACACAGGGGAGGGGAGGGGGTGGCATAGAGTTGACTTTTGAGTCGACTCAAAGTCAATAAGAAGAGGGGGGGATGGGGGGTTGAGGTTTACAAAGAGGAAAAGAGGACACAGGGGAGGGGAGGGGGTGGCATAGAGTTGACTTTTGAGTCGACTCAAAAGTCAATAAGAAGAGGGGGGGTTGGGGGGTTGAGGTTTACAAAGAGGAAAAGAGGACACAGGGGAGGGGAGGGGGTGGCATACCACCAGTTATGATCTTGAAAAGACAGTGTCGAGCGAACAGAGACGACTTTTGAGGCGCCTCAAAAGTTGCCTCAAGAAAAGACGGTGCATGGATAAGATCAGTGTCGAGCGAACAGTCGCACTCTCTCCAATCCCCCTCCCCCCACCCACCCCACTCTTTCCTCCTTTCTGCCCCTACTCCGCCCCTTGTTCATATCGCCCTTGTTCAACCCCCTGCTCCGCCCCAAGTGACATGAGTCGATGTTTGAGTCGACTCAAAAATCGACTCATCACACCCTTGTTTATATCGCCTTTGTTTGACCCCCTGCTCCGCCCCAGGCGACAGGAGGGCGTGGAAGAAGAATCGGATGCTCAGGATCATATCTGATATGCCAGCCTGGCAGATGACCTTTTAGTTACTCAATAGCCAATTACTGTGTTGTCCCCCTGTGTTACGCTTCCCTTGCTCCACCCCAGGCAACATGCGGGCATGGAAGAAGCACCGGCTGCTCAAGATCATATCCGAGATTCCGCCCCCCTTCCGCCCCCCTTCCGCCCCCCTTCCGCCCCCTTGCTCCACCCCAGGCAACATGCGGGCATGGAAGAAGCACCGGCTGCTCAAGATCATATCTGACATGCCAGCCTGGCAGATTCACGCCTCGCGATTGGTCGAGATGGGCTTGGGGGGAGGTGTAGGGAAGGGGGGATGGGGGCAAAGGAGGGGTGCTGGTTGGGAGGGTAAGGCGGACGGCTTAGGTGGTAGTTACTTTGGCGCTGCTAGTGGGGAGGATGGAGGGAGGTATGGGATGGAGAGGGAAGCAGGCGAAGAGGGGGAGGAGGGGGAGGATGAGGAAGGGGAGGAGCAAGGGGAGGAAGAAGGAGAGGAAGGAGAGGAGGGAGGAAGAGAGGAAGCGACCAGGGGAGAGGAATTAAGGGAGAGTGAGGGGCAGGGTCAGGGGGTCTTGAGGGGTGAAGGGGAGGGATCAGCAGCAGCATCTGCAGTGGCAGGTGCAGTGCCGTTGGCAGCAGCAGCTGTAGCAGGAGAAGCAGCAGCAATGGCTGTAGCTACGGAAGAGGCTGGGCTCGGGACTGCAGCTGCTACAGCAGCAGCATCTGTAGCGGCAGGAGCAGTGCCGTTGGCAGCAGCTGTAGCAGGAGTAGCAACAGTAGCTTCTGCAGCAGCAGTGTTGGGGAGTGGAGAAGCGACAGTGGAAGGATATTTTTGTGGAGCAGGAGAAGGTTTACCGGTTGTAGCAGTAGCAGGAGATTCACAGGTACCTGTAGCAGCAGCTGTAGCACCGTTTGTAGCAGCAGGAGCAGCAGCGGCAGCAAGTGCTGGTTTTGAGTTGGCTGAGAAAGCACCTGTAGCTGCGGCTGTAGCAGCAGCAGCTGTAGCAGTTGAAGCAGGGTTTGGTGGGGGCAGCAGCAGGGGCAAAGGCCGGCGATGGGAGTGGGTTGATGGGTGGGGAGAAGAGTACCGGAGAAACGCGGAAAGGAACGCGGAAGCTCTTTCTCTAGTGTCTTTGGAAAATGCAGGCGGTGTGTTGGGCTGTTCTCGTTGCCTGCCTATCTCTGGTCTGGTTCAACTGAAGAGAGGGGAGGAGCAGAGATGGGAGGAGCATAGAGGGGAGGAACAGAGGAAGGGTAATCTTGAGAACGCGGCTCTGGAGGTAAGGGAGAATGAGGCGAAGGTGGGCATTGGGTGTGAAAAGTGGAGGGAGGAGGGTGAGGGGATGGAGGAGAATCGGGATGAGAGGAAAGAGAATGAGGAGAAGAAGGGTGAGGGGAAGGGGGAGGAGAAAAGGGATGAAACGGTGGAGAAAGGAAAAGGGAATGAGGATGCCGTTATGACGACCTGTGCAGTGGTCGAATCAACAGAACCACGTGCAGTTACATTGGGTGAATTGGCGAATTTGAATGGGCCGGATGGGGTGGAGAAGGGGGAGAGAAGGGAAGGGAATAAGGCGCTCACCAGGACAACTTGTGGGATGGTTGAATCAGCAGTTGATTCAACAGTCGAGCCAGCAGTTGAATCAACAGGGCCACGAGAAGGTCCTGTACTGGATGAGTGCAAGGCAAGGGAGGAGGGCGGGCGTGGTGGTAGGTTGTGTGAGGATCAAGAGAGGGACGCTTCCTCGCCGCAGCTGCTGCCACTGTCATCTCGAGCAGCAGAAAACGCACCAGCAGCACCATCAGCTGCAGCGCTGGCACCACCAGCACCATCAGTTGCAGTGCAAGTGACAGCAGCAGCATCAGGACCACAGGATACAGCACCAGAGGCTATCATTTCAGAGGCAGTAGCAGCACAAGCTGTAGCTTTGAAGGGTTTGGCAGGAAAGGTGTTAACTTCAGAGGTTGTAGCGCCACAAGCTGTAGCGCCAGAGGTTGTAGCGCCACAAGCTGTAGCTCCAGAGGTTGTAGCGCCACAAGCTGTAGCGCCAGAGGTTGTAGCGCCACAAGCTGTAGCTCCAGAGGTTGTAGCGCCACAAGCTGTAGCGCCAGAGGTTGTAGCGCCACAAGCTGTAGCTCCAGAGGTTGTAGCGCCACAAGCTGTAGCGCCAGAGGTTGTAGCGCCACAAGCTGTAGCTCCAGAGGTTGTAGCGCCACAAGCTGTAGCTCCAGAGGTTGTAGCGCCACAAGCTGTAGCTCCAGAGGCTGTGGCACCACAAGCTGTAGCGCCACAAGCTGTAGCACCACAAGCTGTAGCACCACAAGCTGTAGCGCCACAAGCTGTAGCACCACAAGCTGTAGCACCACAAGCTGTAGCGTCACAAGCTGTAGCACCACAAGCTGTAGCGTCACAAGCTGTAGCACCACAAGCTGTAGCGTCACAAGCTGTAGCAGGAGAGGTTCTTACTCCAGAAGCTGTAGCACCAAACTTTTCAGTCCCAGTGACTGCAGCACGAGGTGCACCGAATATACCTAGTGGTTCCGAGGCACGCACAAACGGTGCTGTGGGGTTGGCAGGGGTTGGCTTGGATTCGCCCAGTGGGGCCAAAGCTTTGACAAGCAGTGCTGTGGGGTTGGCAGGGGTTTCAAAAGCAAGTGGTCTGAGTGGTGTGGTCAGGAGAGCAGCGGAGATTGGTGAGGGAGGGGAGGAAGGGGAGGGAGGAGAGGGAGGGGAGGATGGGGAAGGGGGGGAGGGAGTGGAGAAAGGGGAGGGAGGGGAGGGAAGGGAAGGGAGGGATGGTGGAGCAGGAGGGGATGGAAGGCCAGGTGAGTCACAGAGTAAGTCAAAGCTACAGGTCAATAAGTCAAAGCTACAGGTCACTCATGTTACCGAGGGTGAACCCAGTGCATGTGTGACTGGGGCTGGTGTGATTGGGGGGTTTGTGGCCAAAGAGTCAGTAGGGCGAGCACTAGCAGCAGCATCAACACAACCAGCAGCAGCAGCACCAGCACCAGCAGCAGCAGCAGCAGCAGCAGCAGCAGCACCAGCACCAGCAGCAGCAGCAGCAGCAGCAGCAGCAGCAGCAGCAGCAGCAGCACCAGCACCAGCACCAGCAGCAGCAGCAGCAGCAGCAGCAGCAGCAGCAGCAGCACCACCACCACCACCAGCACCACCAGCACCACCAGCAGCAGCACTAGCAGCAGCAGCAACACCAGCAGCAGCACTAGCAGCAGCAGCAACACCAGCAGCAGCACCAGAAGCACCAGCAGCAGGAACACTAGCAATTCCACCACAGCAGCAGGTGATTGCACAGAAGCCAGTATCTTTCCAAGAGCTCATTTTTGCGGATGGGGCTTTGGAGGAGGAGGAAGGGAGGCTGGGTTGCCTCTGGGAGGAGACTAGGGAGGGACAGGGACAGGATGCTGATTACGAGATGGGGTGCAGAGGAGACAAGGGGGACCGCAGAGAGAATGAGGGTGCGAACAGAGGAGACGAGGGAGAGAACAGAGGAAATGCAGGAACACCTGCAGCAGCACCACCACCAAAATCGGCAGCAGCATTAGCAACAGCAGCAGCAGCAGCAGGAGAAGAGGAGGAGACAGGAGAAGTGGCAAGTCTCTTCCTCGCGTTTGTGAGGGACCCAGAGGAGTGGGCGTTGGGGGACGCCCAGAGCCGAGCCAAGGTGCCGCAATTCTTCCGATACCTTAGGCACCTGCAAAGGATCGGCTCGCCCCTGCTCAAGGTGAGTGGTGTTCTTGGGAGGGTAGGGTGGTTGGGTGGGTTTCGCAGGTGTTCGTTTAGGCTTTGTGTGCTTCTGTCTGTGGTTGTCTGGCCTCTTCCTGGCGTTCGTGAGGGATCCAGAGGAGTGGGCGGTGGGGGACGCACAGAGCCGAGCCAAGGTGCCGCAATTCTTCCGATACCTGCGACACCTGCAAAGGATCGCCTCGCCCCTGCTCAAGGTGAGTGGTGTTCTTGGGAGTGTAGGGTGGTTGGGTGGGTTTCGCAGGTGTTCGTTTAGGCTTTGTGTGCTTCTGTCTGTGGTTGTCTGGCCTCTTCCTGGCGTTCGTGAGGGATCCAGAGGAGTGGGCGGTGGGGGACGCACAGAGCCGAGCCAAGGTGCCGCAATTCTTCCGATACCTGCGGCACCTGCAAAGGATCGCCTCGCCCCTGCTCAAGGTGAGTGGTGTTCTTGGGAGTGTAGGGTGGTTGGGTGGGTTTCGCAGGTGTTCGTTTAGGCTTTGTGTGCTTCTGTCTGTGGTTGTCTGGCCTCTTCCTGGCGTTCGTGAGGGATCCAGAGGAGTGGGCGGTGGGGGACGCACAGAGCCGAGCCAAGGTGCCGCAATTCTTCCGATACCTCCGGCACCTGCTGAGAATTGGGTCATCCCTGCTCAAGTTGAATGTTGTTGAATATGGGTGGGGTTCTGTGTGGGGTCTTGTGTATGGTGGGCGCTGGGGGACGCGCAGAGCCGTGCCAAGGTGCCCCAATTCTTCCGATACCTGCGGCACCTGCAGAGAATCGGCTCACCGCTGCTCAAGGTGAGAGCGTGTGTGTGCTTCTGGTGTGCGTCTGGGGTTCAGGAGTGGGCGCTGGGGGACGCACAGAGCCGTGCCAAGGTACCGCAATTTTTTCAATATCTTAGGCATCTGCAGAGAATAGGCTCGCCCCTGCTCAAGGTGAGCTTGCTGTGTGTGTGCTCTCAAGGCGTGTTGTGAGCGGTGGGCGCTGGGGAACGCACAGAGCTGTGCCAAGGTGCCTCGCGTCCCGATACCTTAGGTACCTGCACGGCTGTAACCCCAAAGCCCTAAACCCTTTCCTCCTCCTTACTCCTCCTTCCTCCCCCGTCCTCTCCCTCCTCCTCGCAGTTAAGAAGCAGCCGCTGATGCTCTTTGTCGCTCTCTTCCTAATCTCAACCATCCCTTTCCTCCCCATTCTCTCCCCGCCTCCCCCAGCCCTCCGCCCCAGAAATCTTCCTGAAATCGTGAAATCTTCCTGAAATCGTGAAATCTCCCTGTCGCACGGCCTCTCCTCCTCCCAGCTACTGACCATCAAGAAGCAAGCGCTGATGCTCTTTGCTGCCCTCTTTGCGATCTCAACCATCCAAACCCCTCGTTCTCCCTCTCCCCCTCCCCTCCCGTCCTCCTGCAGGCGTATCGTGAAATCTTCCTGTCGCACGGCCTTTCCTCCTCCCAGCTCCTAGCAATCAAGAAGCAAGCGCTGATGCTCTCTGCTGCTCTCTTTGGAATACCCAACCATCCACACCCCTCTCCCCTTCCCCCTCCCCCTCTCTCCCCCCCTGCAGGCCTATCGTGAAATCTTCCTGTCGCACGACCGCTCCTCCTCGCAGCTCCTAGCAATCAAGAAGCAATCGCTGATGCTCCTTGCTGCCCTCTTTGCGATTACAACCATCCCAACTCCTCGTTCTCCCTCTCCCTCTCCCCTCCCGTCCTCCTGCAGGCCTATCGTGAAATCTTCCTGTCGCACGGCCTCTCCTCCTCCCAGCTCCTAGCAATCAAGGAGCAAGCGCTCATGCTCCTTGCTGCCCTCTTTGGGTATCGAAGGCAGCTGGACGGGAAGAACAAGGGGCAGTACGCTGCTGGAGGAGACAAGAGCTCTTCCCCACAATTCGCTCTCCTCCCCCTCCTGCCCCGTCTCCCCGTCTCCCGCTCCCCTCTCCCCACCACTCCGCCCATCCCCCCCTCCCCCCCCTCCCAGGCCTATAGGGAGATCTTCCTGTCGCACGGCCTCTCCTCCTCGCAGCTACTCACCATTAAGAAGCAGGCGCTCATGCTCCTTGCTGCTCTCTTTGGGTACCGTAGGCAGCTGGACGGGAAGAACAAGGGGCAGTATGCTGCTATCATCACCCATTCAGCCTTTTGGAGAGAGCCCGGGCAGGGAGGGAGAGAGGGAGAGGGGCAGGGGCGATCTGATGGGCAAGGGCAGGGGCAGCGGGGGAGAGAGGGGAATGGGAGAACTGGCGTTGTGCTTTCAGGAGACGTCTTCTTGAGTGCGGGTAAGGAGCGGCGAGAGGGAAGAGGGGAATTGCACGGCACAGAGCAGGGAGACGGGAGTGAGCAGCATTGCACAGAGCAGCAGCAGGCAATGGGGTCAAGTGTCGCCTTTCACTTGATCTCACGAGAAGAACAGCTGTTGTGGAAGCGAGATCAAGTGAAAGGGGGGGGGAGTGTGGTGGCTCGAAGGGTTGGCGCTGCCGCCCCACGTGATATGACCGAAGGACTTGTTACTCCGCTTGCTGTGCGTGAGCAGGGTGAGTCAGGTGTGAGGGGTGCGTGCTCACAAGAAGGGGCGCCAGCAGCAGCAGACAGGGGAGCAGCAGCAGGGGCAGAATCAGCAGGGGGGAGAACAGGGAAAGGAGCAAGTGAAGGAGCAGGGACAGAAGACCGAGGGACAGGGGGCGGGCTGAGGTGGATGAAGAGACGAATTCGCGTGCACCAGGGGAGTGAGGGGGCAGAGGCAAGCCCGATAGAGACCCCAGCAGTAGCAGCAACCACAACAGAAACAGCTTCAGCAGCAACAGGAGCAGCAACAACTGCAGCCACCGTTTATGCAGCGACCACAACAGCCGCAGCAACGGAAACCTTTACAGCGGCGCCAACAACAGAAACCACTGCTGATCCGCCCACCTCTTGTCCCATCTCTTCCTCTATCCCTTCCTATGTGGGAAATGTACTTTCTAGCTCAGCCACTGCCTCTCTCCCTGGTCGAAAACGGTCCCTCTCTGAACTGTTGTTCCTGCAAACCAGTCATGCTGGTTCGAACCAGCAAGCTCGGACCGAGCCTGAGCCGGAACCCGAGCCTGTGGCTGGTGCTGCTGTTTCTGCTAGGTCAAGAGAGCAAGAGAGAGAGGAATGTGGGCTGAAGAAAAGAAAAGGAGGGGAGAGGTTTGGAGGGGAGAGGAAGAGAAGGAAGGGTGATGGGGAGAGGACTGGCCTGGGAAAAGGGTCACAGGATCTGGAGGGTATAGAGCGTTGGGGAGGAGTCAGGGGGGACAAGAGGAGATCGGAGCATTTGGCTGATGATGATGCTGATGATGTTGAAGGTGATGATAATGATGGTGATGACGATGGTGTTGAAGATAATGTTGATGGTGATAGCAGCAAGGATGACTGCAGTTTTGATGGTGATGGTGATGGTGGTGATGGTGACTGTGATGATGGGTCCTGGGAACAGGTCAAAGGAGCAAGCAGAGAGAGGCAGCAACAGCAGCAGCAGCAGCAGCAGCAGCAGCAGCAGCAGCAGCAGCAGCAGCAGCAGCAGGAGCAGCAGCAGCAGGAGCAGCAGGAGCAGCAGGAGCAGAAGCAGCTAAAGAAGCGGAAAAGGGGCGGCACAGGGCGGGCATGTGGTGTGGACTGGATGGGAATATCAGACAGTGAGCTGCTAAGCGCTGTACAGAAGCATCTTATAAAGGAGATGGAGGTGTGTGTAGGTCTGAGTGACTGTAACGAGGGTGTACAGGCACCTTGGTGGTGGCAGCAGGTGGTTTATGGAGATTCTAGACAATGCAGCTTGCCAGGAGCCTCGTCAGGTGTTTCACCAGGTGTTCCTTCAGGTACCGGCTCTGGTTCAGGTGCTCTGTTGCAGCTGGAAAAGTTACATCAGGAGTTCTGCCAGATTGTGGATCGTTGTGGTGGTGCTGGTGCTGGTGGCAGGGAGTTAGCAGCCAGTGCTGCTGACCCTCGGGGAAAGGGTGAGGGGGATGAAGTCTTGAGACGCCGCAAGTGCAGTGAGGACACGACGAGGGGAGAGGTTGAGGGTGTTGGAGGAGTGAATGGAGTGGAGGGAGGGGCAGGAGCAGGCGGGAGAGTGGATGGGCAGGGTGGGGATGTGGGAGTGGAGTATGTAAAGGAGGGTGCGGGAGGAGGGGAGGAGAATGTTGGAGGGGAGAGGATGGGAGGAGGGAAGGAGGTGCTGATGAGAGGCAGATGGCAACGGGCTGTGCAGCTGAGCTTGCTCACAGCAATTGTTGCCGAGTGCGAGTCTCTGAATAAAGAACATGTAATAATGTAAATAAGCTGATTATTAGTACAAAACTTGTAGTGCCGTCGGGCGTTTTGTATAAATTTTTAAAAGAATTTGACTACTTGTGACACTTGTTTTCTTCGAGGATGAAATACACGACATCCACAATATTAATTAGTCATTCCTGTAAAGATGTAGTGTAATGCTTTTCGATTGAACTGTACCTCTCACTGACATCTTCGGCTCGCATTCGGTCAAGAGTATCCCTCGATTTGGTCGCGGTGGCAGCCACAGCTCCTTTTGCAGCTTGAATCCTCAACCACATGGAAGCGCTTCGGAGCTTGAAGTCCCATGTGAGAAACCGACAGCGAGCACTACCGCCCGCTTGACCACCCGGACAGCTCGAATTTGAGCCGCCAGTGTCCATTCCCTCCCGAAAAGTTTACGCAGTAGACCTGGTATCAGAAATTTCACAAAACATAGGACCACCTGGCCTCCCCGTATCCCTTGTGCCTAGTGTTCCGCCTCTGTCCGTGCCTAGCAATTTCATGGCATGAAATCGCGGAATGAAGCTGAGATTTAGCAGGTCCCTTCAGATCCGATTTAGTTGGCCAATACATCTACAGGTAAGGTGGGGGGAAAACCCCTTTGCATTTGTACCATACCTGCACGAAACCCTGCAGACAGGCAATCCCAAGGAAGGCTCTGAGAACCGCAGCAGAAGCTTCGAACTGCGGTGCGGCTGCTACGACGATGACAAACTTCAAACTCTCGCCCAGTTCAGTGTTCTGCTTGTGGCACATACACTGGAAAAATGGGACTGCTGAGTGGTATATAAAAAGGAAAGTAGCTTTCTCAGGGGTACTACTAGCGACACCGCGATTTCTAAAAGTCATGTTTCGTCATATTTGTCAAACTGGCATTTTTGTTTGGTGGATGAAATGCACGATGGTTGGGTCGTCGGTATTAGCGGGAATCCTCAGGGAGACCCTCAGGGTCGGGAGGGGAACTTCAAACTGTATTGGCTGTCGAAGCTTGGTCGCGGAACCTGACCAGCAAACTTGGTTGGCTACTGTGACATCCAGCGCGCCACCTGCGTGATTTGGCTTCAAATCTTGTACGCGTCACACATTGCAAGCTCAGCCAATAAGCCTGCGGCATAGCAAATTCTCTCTGTCGATTCGCTGTTGATCGCTGTCATCCCTTGTGCCGCACACAAGTCCAGGTTTTGCTCTGCTCGACCTGACCTGACAACTGTTTCGTGGGTGAATGATGAGGGATTTTTCTGCAGCTGACACTGCAGTGCCATCAAGCCGAACAACTTCACTTTAGTGCGGTGCAGCGAGATGTTTTGAGCTGTAAAACGGTTCGTTTTCGTAATCGGACTGGAAAATGCCAGACAGTGGTTCTTGGGTTTTGAGCGAAATTGAACTGTTCAGGGATTTCGCACAGTTTCCCGTCGTCCGGGCGGCACAACCTGGAAAAGAACAAGCGGAACCACCTGACAAGGTGTTCCTGCCTGAGCTCCCTCAGGAAGAGGCTGACAAGAGGCTCTCCAACCACCCCTCCCAAGCCCAATAAGGGCGTGTCTGAAGTGAATTTCGACGTTTGCCGACGAAACTTTCGTCGACGTTCCTTGACGAAACTCGACATCCGTTTTCAGCTGTGTTCACTTCAGACACCCACACGACAAAATAACCCACACGTGCCATAGGAACACTGTTATAAGTTGCCCATGAAAAATCGACGTGGAATTAACAGAATCATTCATGTAACTCAATTGTTTGCAATCTCGCGAATTTCGCTTAGCATAGATTGTTGCTGGTAACACCGGATATTCTACTGTCACATTGCCAGCGAAATTTCTCTAGCACGTGTCGCTCTCGTCTTAGTTCTTATTCACGTGTGTTTGCCACAGCTATGCAGACATGGCGTGTCGAAGAATTGTTTTTGAAACACTCACTGACTACAGTGACTCAAACAGCTGCCCGGTATCACTGTTCGACATCCCTCGACATGTGCACGAACGTCGAGTTTCGTCGAGGGATGTCAGGCTGCACTTCAGACACCAACACGCGTGGGTCCCACGAATGAGTTTCGTCGACGAAATTTGACGAAACTCGACGTTTGCACTTCAGACACGCCCTAATGAACTTCCGAGAGTCAAATACCAGGACAACCACTTTGATGAAATATCTAGCTAGTATTAGCACCTAACACCTACTAGGAATGCTAATTTTAACTGTAGTAAGTAGTCTCCACTAATCGCCAGCAAATTCAAACCCCCCGAAAAAGTACTATCTCCTGATCTGCAAGTAGATACTGAACTCTATATATGTCTCGCTTTAAAACCAGGGTGCACATTCAACGCGGTTCGGCTTGAGATGTTGGGAAGGGGGTTTGGAGAAAAACAGTGATTGGCTCACGAGGGGCGACAAAAAAATGATTCCGCTAGAGCTTCGGGCATTTCGTAGGTGGCAGGAGGGGGTGAAATGGCAAGTGTGGGTGAAACCGAATGGCGGGAGGGATGAAACAGATTGGCGGGAGGGGGGGGAAACGAAATTGCGGGGGAGGGGGGAAACGAAATTGCGGGGGAGGGGGGAAACAAAATTGCGGGGGAGGGGGGAAACGAATTTCGACGGGGAGGGGGAAATGAAATTGCGGGGGCGTGGGGAAACAAAATTGCGGGGGAGGGGGGAAACGAATTTCGACTTGAAGGGGTTGAAAGCACACCTCGTAACCCACTCAGTCAAGGGATAACCTTTGATGCACATTCAGCTGAATGTGCACCCCGGTTTTAACACATACTGATCCTGCTAGTGACAAACCCCTCTTCTAGTGCTTCTTACATCATGATCCCTAATCTAAATGTGGAGTTTTTAAGAGTCTAAAACTCACGTATTATCTGAGACCTACCTGGCCAACATATGAGTTGTTCCAGACTCTGGAAGTTCTTGATCTGACCCCTCTTTTTGGATCTGACTATGTTATGACTTGTCTGACTTTTTTTTTAGCACCTACATCTGACTAGTTTGCCTCTAGCTGTCCAAATCAACTGGTGCAGCAAGCATTTTTTTTTTAATAATAATAATAACCTCCAGCCTTCCAGAATAGACACTGTCCAGCAGGCTCGCCGGTATGCACATTCTGCAGCTCCATTCCAAACCAAAAACTCCAACCAGCAGGACCATTGGACCATTCAGTTTGCCGCCCGGAGGAAATGCAGTACCTCCTGCGAATGTTCCTGGATCAGCACTGCTGTTGGCTGCGCAATCATGCCGCGCTCCTGTGGCGAGCTTTCCCTCTGCTTCACAGCTACAAGTAGTAGTCAAGTGAGTTCGAGACGACTTGACAATGTTACACAGGTGGATGCCGGTTCAAAGAGTTTGTAAACGGATTGGCTTAGGTGGTTTCCCATTGTTGCTCATCTACTTTCCCCCAATGACAGCTGAGTTGCTTCCCTCGGCTATTGGAAGCTGAGTGGTTTCCCCAATGAAAGCTGGGCGGCTCTCCCCATTTGAAGCTCAGTGGCTCCTTCCAGTGACTCTGCCACCTGCACTCCTCTCTCTGACGCCATCCTCCCACTGCCCACATCACATTCCCTTTCGTGTTGCTTCTCTGGGCCACTTTAGCTTTCCTTTCCATCTCTGGGCATCCCAGGTGCTGCTTCTGTTATTGCTTCGCTTCTCTGGTTGTTCAGTGTGTCTTTGCTTCCGTGCTACTGTGCTTCTCTGTTCCCTACTTCTGTTCTTTGCCGCTTAACTCTGTGCTTCTCCGCTGCGTATCCTCTTGCCGACATTATTTCTCTGTGTTCATCCACCACCTCTTCAGTTCTTTCTGCACTTCTGCTTCTGCGTCGGTCTTTCTTTTTAAAGTGAAGATGTGATGGCCTGGATCTCAAATGTGTCTGGTAAATCGGTGGGAGCGTTCGTGTGATCCAGTTGTGTCCCAAAGGACACTTTCTGGACCCAGATCCAGATCTCTACTTCTCTGTTTCTCTGCTACTTTGCCTTTCTGCTCTTGATTTTTCCCTCCCTCCTTGCTTCCCGTCTCTGCTTCTCTGCGTCCCCTTCTTTTTCTCTATTTTCTGCTTCTCCTCTTCTCTGCCTCTCTTTGTCTCACTGATTCTCTGCTTCTTTCTTTCCATCTGATCCTGTACCTTTTTTTTACTCCTCTCTCTATCTCTCTGATTCTCTGATTTTTTCCCTGTTCATCCGATCCTCTTTGCTCCCCCCTCCCCCCCCCTCCCTCTCCCTCTGATTCTCTGATTTTTATTTTCTTTGTTGCTCTGATTCTCTGATTTTGTTTGTTTGTCTGATTCTCTGCATTTTTTTTCTTCTTCCAATGATTTACTGCCTTTTTCTACTATGATTTTCTGTTTTTCCCCTCTGATTCTATATTCTTCTTTGTTCCT